CACTCTTTCTCTCTCTAAAAGCCTTATTCCACCCATTAACGCTTCGTTATCGGTAGAAAACGAAGCAGAACTAGAAGAAGAAGAAGAAGAAGAAGAAGAAGCAGAAGATGAAGATGAGTATGATGATGATGATGATAGTGAAGCCCGAGAAGTTAAAATGATTGAGGATTTTGATGAAGAAGAAGAAAATGGCGGTGAAAAGGAGAGTGAGAAAATGGATAATGTGGGTCTGCATTCTTTGCGTGTGAAGACAACTGGGATGCAGCTGCCGAGCCTTACGGTGAAGGAGAAGAAGGAATTGGCGTCCTACGCGCATAGTCTGGGGAAGAAGCTCAAGTCCCAGTTGGTCGGAAAGTCCGGTGTCACTTCTAATGTCGCAACTTCTTTCGTTGAGACCCTCGAATCCAATGAGCTTCTTAAGGTATTTTCGTCACTAAAACATGTTTTTTGTTCTTGGGTTTTTTATCTTCAGGTTTGTTGTTGTTGCACTCCAAGTGCTTGACGAAAGTCCTCGTGGTTTTTTGAAAATATTCAAACGTTAGCCTGGTATTGCTAATATAAATATTGTGCAGAAAAATAAATAACCATAAACAAGTAGATTAACGCGGTTATGTATTTTTGTAACTATTTTTGAATATAGGATTAAAATTCCTGATGCCCGTCAATATCGTCCTTTTACGCGGGCTTACTTTTAGTTAATTCATGAGGTAGGAATGAAAACTGAAAAGTGAAGTGCATGTTGAATTTTGTGTTGTCTTATGGCGAATATGACTTGAGAGCTTGTTCATATATTCATATAAATTTCCTTGAGGAATGAAATTAGACCAAGATACAGTTTTCCTGCCAATTAGGCGGAGTTCTTAATGTCACAGTTAAAGGGGCATGTTGAATTCTGATTCTAATTAGCGTAAGATTCGTTGGAACTTGGCATTCCTGAGGAAATTCAAATTAGTTTTGTTTGTGATCCTTTGTAATATACATGTAGATGATACAACTAGACTTGAGTGCATCCCTTTACATTCTGAATCTCAATTTGGGTTTGCTCCAAGTTGTCTTTTTTGGCTCAAATTGCTAGAGGTTCTGTTATGACTGGATTTTGAAGACAATTCTTGTGTGCATTTTCGTTTTCTTATTTAAGTGATGTGTCTGTATTCTTTAAATGCAAAATGTACTGTACTTATACTAGTTTTGCTTGGTAAATAATGAAACGCGTTCGAACTGAAAGTTAACCTGAATTTTCAATTCAAATGGTGTGAGCAGATTAAAATACACAGGACGTGTCCAGGGGAGCTAGATGATGTGGTGAAGCAATTGGAGGAACTGACTGGTTCTGTGGTTGTTGGTAAAATTGGCAGAACAGTGATTATTTACCGGCCCAGCCTCACCAAGTTGAAAGCAGAGGAGAAAAAGCAGCAGTTTCAGAAGATTTTAATGAGGAGGAAACAACTCAGAGCAAGACCTGCATTTCCGGTAAAGAAACCAAGGAGATGAAACTCCCTTTTGTTGTGATTGCTTGTGTTTTTTTCTCTGTTTCCCCTTGTGCATTTGCATAAATTTTACCATGAACCTTTGAACTGAACCTCACGTAATCTTTTGGAAGTTTCAGACAAAAGGAGCAAGACCGAGATTGTCTGGTCGTGGTAGACGAGGAAGTAGCAGGGTTTAGGTGCCGTTAAAGTTACAATGATACTGTAATGAGCTGTAATGATACCGTTGAAGCCATCTCCTAGTATTCTGTTCTAGAGAGAGAGAGAGAGAACCTCCCCTAAGTGACTCGTGAATGTTGGCTTTGGTTACACAATCAAACTCTAAAGATTAGTTGACATATAGGGGGAAGTTCTTTTCTGGTATTGTTTTGTTTCTTCACATGGCAATGATAAATTCTGCATATGCTGTTTCTCTTACTATCGTCTCGGTAAGACCAGAAACAAAACTTGTCAATTTCTAGAGTTTGTCCACGTTTTACTCACCTTTTGCCTTTTTTTTTTTCAAAGGCATTCTTTCACCTTCATCTTAACATAAGAGTAACTAGTCTGACCGTTAAATAGCAATTTTTTAGAAGTTTTACCGATGCATTTCATTATTAGTTTTACTGATGCATTTTATTATTATTATTACTTTTATTTGTAAGCTGAATTCTCAATTCTTATGACATTTTAGAATCCTGAATTTGATAATCCTTCGCATTACAATTCAACAGATAATTGGTGGCAATTTATAAATGGTAATTAGAGAATCAAATATCAAAATTAAAAAGTTAAAGATTTAACATACCAACCATAAATTTTCAGTTGCACCTTGTGCAAAAGTCTTGGGAATTCCATTCATTAATTTATATCCGTTGGCTATTTATTGGATCACAATTACAAAAAAATTTACAAATTTAAAGTCCGCATCAAAAATTAAAAGTTCAGACTACAAATTGCCAAAAAATCAATAAATTAAAGGTGCATCAATGCCAAAGATAAAAAAAAATTTAAAAAAAATTAAAGGTCATTCTTTGACCTTAATTAAAGTCTGGCTGTTAATCTCACGTCGTATAAGCAATACAGAGACCAGCTATGTTTAATTCTGTTTCACGGCGTACGTCTGACAAAAAACTACAAAGAACAGAAACTATAACATAGGGCATACAAGAAACTTGAAGGCTGGTAACTGCATAAATTTTGCTATAAATTGGGATATAATCATGTATTTATCAGTTGCATTACAATTACAATAATCATTGATCTAAACAAATACCAGGTGTGTAGAATTACTAGGGACGTCTAGATGCAGTGCCTTGCATGAAAAAATGGCGACAACGACCTTATCTTTGGCCAATTGGGCATGTAAAACAACACGCCAAATTAAAACCAAGCACCACAATTAACAAATAATGATCTTCGATCTGTCTCAAGGTGGTATCACCCATCATCGCAGCAACCGCTCAAATAATCTTTAAACTAAACAGCTTTTAGTTTTTCCAGTTCATCGCTGGATGAATCTTCTCTGTATAGAATGCCTTCGGGAGATAAAAGGCGTTGAAGAGCGAGAAAAAACCGGGTCTAAAACATTAAAAAAAAAAAAAAAAAAAAAAAAAAAAAACAGAGGGGAAGAAAAACAAAATAAAAAAAAAAAAAAAAAAAAAAACTGAGTTAAATTTCCAATGGAATTTACAGGCGTAAACTGAACGAAAGCAGAAAATTGCAGGTTTTGGTGGGATTCAGATCTTACCCACTGAAATACTGCAAGTGCGCTCCAGCAGCCTGCCAAACCAAATCCTTTGCTGCTAGCAATCTGATAATAAGAAAACATGAGGGTAGTTTTACTCATTAACTCGAGGCAGATACTTAATACAACAGATCTTAAGACAAAGGGATTAGATTATTCTACCGTTAGTAAAAGTGCCCCAAAGGTAAAGCAGCCGCTCATTGACATACTAATAAACTTTAAGTCTCGTCCAGCCTGCAAAAGATACAAACAGATATCAAGATTATAAAGTTTGTGCATGTTCTTGTGTAGAAGGGTGCTCTAGTGTGCAATCAAATAACTGACCAGTGAACGAAAAATGAATCTGGCGCTATTTATTTTCTATTTTTGAAAAGATTATCTGTTTGACTTCACACTAATGGGCATAACCTTAAAATCCTACGATATGCATTACGGTGCTTAGCCTTGGCATAAACTTAAAGAACATAATGAAGCAGAATTCCAATGAGCAACAGTAACGAGAAGAATCCCAAATGAGTTTCTTGTCAATCTTCCAGAGAAAATGTAATGACAGATGAAAAGATAAGCTCCGAAAGAAAAATAGTCTTAAAAAAAACAGAGAGAAAACCGCACCAGCAATGTTCCCTCAAGGCTGTGAGTTGGGGGTGTCACAGATAAAGCCAAAAAGTATGGTACTAAAATTTTGTGCATCTGCAAAGATTATAACGAAATACCAAGTGTAAGAAATTCAAAAGCATTTCAACTAGAGAGGCATAATAAACAGTACAGTTATTCACATGAACAAGAAGAGTTAAAGAAACAGCAGAAGTAAAGGCAGGGTGATGATTAAAACAGAGCATCAGAACTCGACATGGAATTTTATTTTATTTTTAATTAGTAGTAGTAGTAATAAAATAAAAAAACACCAATCAAGATTTTGGAAACAATTGTGAAAAGAGGAATATTCATGAGGAAAAGCCCGAACCTCTTGTATGACCATCTGATCACGTGTAAAGATCTTCGGAAACAACCAGGGAATGGATGTTCCAACAATTCCTAAAACTAATCCAACTATGACTCCGATGATGACGAGTGATTTTAGCAGCATTCTTGCCTGTTAGATATCTTAAAATTGTGAGAATGTTTGAACAAATATAATTTTCTTTTTTCTTTCAACAACTGAAATAACAAAATCCAGATAGACTTTTGGCAGTTAGACATCTACAAAGCATCACAGACCTTTTCCAAACTACGTTTGACTCCATATAACAACTCAGGCATAAATGATTGTGCAGTTTGAGAAAGAGGTTCACCCCAAACAGTGCACATGCAGAACGTTTGAATCATGACCTACAGAAAATTGTCAAGTCAGCACTGCAAATGGTGATGGTGTTATACAGAAAAAAGAGCTATTTTTTTTTTTTATAAGAAAAAATAAGAGCTAACTGGGGAATAATAATACTCATGTAAAAGAAAACAACCTGATGAGCAGCCATGGTGATTGTGCCCAAGGATGTAGCAAAATATACAAGGATAGTGTAGAAAGCCACCTAAGAAATTAAAAAAAGTACATTAGATTTGTCGAAAATAACAAAAAAAGAGATCAGACACAGCAATGGGTCAGAACAATATGTAACCTTGGCCATCATTGTCACAAACACTGGAGCAGCAAGCGCAACTATATCCAAAAGCTCTTTGGGAGAGGGAATGGAGATGGCATATGCATTATATCCTTTCTTGTTTAGAGCTTCAATCATCATATATGCTGCAACAACCTAAAATTACCTTGTTAGTGGCCATGCTGAAGAAAACAAACCAAGTACTGAATGGAGCACATTCCTAGTATACAATGACAAGAACGAGATAAAAGATTAAACATCTAATTGTATATGAGCAACATGTTTCTCCAGCATACCTGTGATACCATCGTAGCCCATGCCGCACCAGCAATGCCGTAACCCAGAAAGATGCATAGGGCTATATCACCAACGCCATTTATAACGCTGGCCGCAGCCAAAGCCTTCAGAGGTCCCCAAGAATCTTTCATGCCAAGACTGGGAAGAAGAATAAAAACATAACAATACAAACTCATCCGAGTTTCAACTTACAAGTGTTCACAAATCTAAGGACATCATTAAAAAATAACTGTTAATAATTTTTACTGAGATCAAGATGCTGATTCCTAACACGTTTCTAATTAAAATCATTCCTTGCCTGAAATTTCTTCTCAACAATATATTCTAATTTGCAGAACTAAAAAGAGAAAAAACCTTAAGGCTTCTATGACACTTTATCAAGTAGAGTGACTTCAAAGAGAGACTGAAATTGTTACGGATGCCTTTGTGGGCAAGGCATATGAGAGATGTGGTACACAAGTCAAGCGCTAAGAATGGGAAAGAAGCCAAAGAATAATCTTATTTTTAGTAGTATCCTAATTAGGCAAGTCTATTTTTAGCAAGTATTCTAGTTTCCTATTTTCTATTGGAGTAATTTCCTATTTTCTAGGTTCCTATTTCCTATTTTCTATAAGAGTAATTTCCTATGTAACCTCTATTTAAGGGGACGAATTTGGAGTAATAAAAACAGAGAAGAATTTTGTTCTAATTACAGAGGTTTAAGACTCTCTTTCCAACGAGTCTAAGGTTAGGAGCTCCCTTCGACGAGTTCCAAATATTATTCACCATAGATTCTTCTCATGGCAAGAATTGCAACAAAGGAAGGGCTCCATCAACCGCAGTGGATTATCCCGTGAATCGTCCAGTGACCCGATCCATAACTCGAGAACGTAACAACTTGGTATCAGAGCCAAACACTATGAGTGATTCCAACACAAAGGACGAGTTGAGGGCTCTGTTACAGGAGATGTAGGAAATCAACGAAACAAGAATGGCAGAAGCCGAGTCCCGGAAGGAAGCAAGAGTCGCACAAACCGAGTCTCAATTGGGAAATCAGTTGCAACAACTGTCGCAACAACTGCAGGAACTTCTCATGAGTTCCAACCGAAACCGCAGCAAGGAGTCCGATGGAGGTACGAGCAGCAGCAACCGTTACGGGAACCACCACTACAGAACGGAAAATCGATCAGAATCACCAACAGGGATGGGAGTGGTGCCGTGGTACACAAAGCTTGATTTTCCAACCTTTGGTGGATAAGAGGACAGGTTAATATAGTTACACAGATGCAAGAAGTTCTTTTCCAATCAGCGGACAGCGGAATTAGACAAGGTTGGTTTGGCAGCTTTTCACATGTTGGGTGAGGCGCAATTATGGTATTATCAAATCGAGCAGGAGGAATCGAATATCACGTGAAGGGCATTCAAGGAATACTGCACTTTGAGATTTGGCCCACCACTACACGGTAACCCTTTAGGAGAATTGGTTAATTTGAAACAAACAGGAACGGTGGAGGATTATCAACGCCGATTCCAAGGGCTGTTGGCACGTGCTAATACAGTATGAGTGGATCAGCAAGTAGACTTGTTTACTGTAGGATTAACAGACTCAATTAGGCTTGATGCGGAGATGCAAAATCCCCCAAACCTTGTACAGGCAATGAATTTGGCACGGGCCTTCGAGAAGAATCAGCAGCTAGCAAAAGTGGCAAGCATGCGCAGAGGACCTTGGCAACACATGGGCTCGAACACTAAAAGAAACCACATAGCAACACCGGTTCCCTTTTCCGCTGCTAAAAGCAGTTTCGGGCAAGGCGGGGGTGACGGTGGTAGGATCAAGTCCAAGTAGTACGACCCCTCCTTTTATTAATAAGTTGACTCGTGGGGAGATGATAGATCAAAGAGCTAAAGGTCTCTGTTACAATTGTGACGAACCATATTCATTCGGGCACCAATGTAAAAAATTATTTTGGCTGGAGGTAGAGTATCATGAAGACATGATGCTGGAACAAGACGAGAATAAGTGTAACACCCATTTTTCTAACTGATAAAATTCCTAGAAATAAACATTAGGAATTAATTTGAATAATGTTATGGTATTATAATTAATTAATTCTAACATCACGTTGAGTTATATTTTACAGGTGAACGCGACGAGAACTCGAGGTGCTAAGAAAAAATTCATGCCATTTTATAGAAATACTATATGTGTTCATTTTTTTATTTATGATTTGATAAATGTATATATGTTCATGATATGATGTACTTCATGTTATAATGCATGGAATTAAGGGCCCGTTTAGTTCGCTGATTTGAGTTTTTAATTCGAGTTGAGATGTGACTTTATGTGAGAGCTTTTTACTGTAGCAAAAAAGTTATATGTGACTATTTCTGAGAGTTTTTTACTGTAACAAAACTCGAATTCTAAACTCGAATCGGTGAAATGAACAAGGCCTAATTGTCTTAGGAAAATTCTAAGTTTTTCCTTGATTTTTCTTTTTAGACAAAAGAACTATTTCCATGATATTAATTTCCAACTCTATTTTGGACCTTTAAAATTATGAAATTACTCCATTAGTTTATACAAAACTATAGAGCCTTTCATAAGCTTTCCAACGCCTTCTCATTTGCGCAAGCCGGACATCGGAATAAGAAGATATGGCCAGTATACCATCCGGATATCCAGCTGTCTCCGACCAGGTTACTGCACGCGAACAAGAACGGAAATTCTAGAAGCTGACCTAACTCTTTTATTTGCCTTCCACACGATTTTACACCCTAATGACAGCCATTCCCCCAGCTGTTAAGGAGTGATTTAATCACAAAATTAATCCCCAATTAATATTAATCCCATTTAATTTTATATGATTTATGAGCTAATAAACATTTTCAAGCTCTTACTCTCTCTTCCCCTCTTTCTTCTTCTTTCTTTCACGTCCAAGAACACCACAATAGAGAGCCTCCAAGACCAGCCATCAAACCTCCATTATTCTAACCCCTTTTTGTAAACCTTTGGTTCTTCTAAGCCACAATCAAGAAGATTTCAAGGTATGTTCCATATCTAATTTAGTATTCATGGTTATTAGGTGATTTTCTTTGGTGTTGGGTGCTAATTTAAGGAGATAATGAATAACTTACTTTGGTTGAAGATTGAGGGATGATATATGTGATTTAGGTGAGGTTTTAATGTTCATGGCCGTATGTTTTATTTTTGGGATAATCATGTATGACACGGTTATTGTTTTGAGTATTTTGGTGTCTTCATAATTTGATAAATTCTAGAGATGCATGTTAGGAATTATGTTATTTTCTTATATTGTTGTTTCCTTTTTATGTTATAAATTGTGATTTCATAGAAACATGAGTTAGCATATTATTTTTGGATTCGTGTTGCTATGTGAATTTTGATGGTCATATTGATGTTTCTAGTTCGCTTTGCCATGAGAATTTTTATAGAATGTGTAATTTGAATGTTTTAGGAACATGTCTTAGGGCCGGTTAAAGTATACATAGGGTTGGAATTGATTTTATCTTTAATGAATTTATTTTGGTATTTTCGGAGTTTACTGTGCTGGAATTTTTCAGCTAATATGATCTGAGTTTAAAACAGTGTTTGAGGGACCAAACGAACTCCGTTTTTAACAAATAAGGTGTTGTTGGAAAGATCTTAATGTCTATTTTCATTTGGCACCAATTTCAGATCGTTTTGAGTTTTCTATGATTTGTTATGAATTTTTAAAGAGATAAAGGTCAGGCTGTTAGTTTTTGTAAGATTTGGAAAATTGGTGTAATTATTGGGAATTTTTATGTCTTGATGTTAATGAATGGTGAGAATGGTATATTAGATGATGTTTTAAGGTGATCAATGTTTTTTATGAGTTATTAAGGCTTTTTAGTAATCTTATTCATGATTTATGGCATGAACGGTTCTAGAGACGAGCATCCGAGGACCTCATTCGTCGCGTCACCGTTGTGAAATTTTAAAAGGTTAAGTAAGGTGCTCATGTAAGTACACTCTCACCTGCAACATGAATTGAAAAATTGAGAAGCATATGATTTTGATGTTTATGATGATGTTATGACACCTTTAATATTTTATATGATGACGTTTGAAGAAAAATGCATATATGTATTTTTATGTTTTTAAATGGCGTTGTACACCCTTGATGGTGACCGGTGAGCGGTCTTATTGCCAAGATTGGGTATAAGATTTGCTACCCCATGCTTTCCGTGGCTAACGCGCTATGATGGTACAACGTCGGACCCAATATATGATGAATTTTAAAGTTTAAACATGTTCAAAAATAATTATTCTCATGATGATGTTTATTGTTGATGAATAAAAATGTTCATTTAAATTTGTGAGAATTAAGTGTCTTACTAAGCCCTTGCTTATATAAGTTATTTCATGTTACAGACAATCTAAAGGATAAGATGTTGCCATGGAGAATCTTGGAACAAATGCGAGCGGTGCGTGATAGGAAAACAGGAGAAACAATCATTGAATGAAAGTGCTTAATGTTAAACAAAGTTTTTAAATTTATATTTTTATTGTTTTGAAACTTTGGTTTATTGTGGTTTTAATTTGAAGAATACTTAAGATCTTTTTTTTAGTTTATTTTACGGTATGGATTTTTATAAATGAGTTGAACCTAAAGATTACTTTTCTTTGATGAGGTTTAAAATTTTTAAAGTTATAATATGTAAAAAAAATTTAAGATTTCTTCAAATCATTCAAAGTAAAGTGTTTTAAGCTTAACTATTTTCCGCATTTTTTTAGAGGTAAATGTTTGAAAGTTAAGATAACTGTGACGGTCTGTGAGGGGTTGTTACAATAACCTGAAATATCCTTGCATGCGATCACGGGCCAACAAAATGCTCGAACTATGCAATTGCAAGCAATAATGGAGGGACATCTTGTATTGGGGTTAGTGGATTCAGGAAGCACTCAAAATTTCATTAGTGTGACAACAGCCCAACGCCTCGGAGTGAAGGTCCAACCTCAATCTGGTTTAAGTATATCGGTGGCCAACAAAGAAGGTTTTTAGCAAGGGAATATGCCAAACGCTGCCATTTAAAGTTGGTAATAACACTTTTATTGCTGACTTCCTTGTTATTCCTTTGGATGGATTTGATATTGTTTTAGGAATTAAATGGCTCCAAACTTTGGATTTGATATGGGATTTTGTCTCTCACTATGAGCTTCGCGTCGGGTGGAACAACTATCACTCTTCAAGGGCACCAGAATTCCAATAAGGTTCGAGTTCACTTACTACAGGAAACAACGGAGCCGCCGCAAATTGGATCAATTATTGGATGAGTTTAGTGATTTATTTCAAGAGCCATCCGAGCTACCTCCTCTTCAGAATTGTGATCACCGCATCTGTTTACAGCCAGATTCCGCTCCAGTGGTCGTTCGTCCCTATAGATATCCACACCTACAAAAAGATGAGATAAGGAAGCAACGTGAACAAATGCTCCAGCAAGGAATTATTCGGCCTAGCAGGTCACCCTTTTCTTCATCGGTGTTGCTGGTTCGTAAGCACGACAGAACATGGCGCTTTTGTGTTGATTACAGGGGGCTTAATGCTAAAACGTCAAGGATAAATTTCCAATACCACTGGTGGAGGAGCTGTTAGATGAGCTAGATGGGTCCAAATACTTCACCAAACTAGATCTTCGATTAGGATACCATCAAGTTCGCATGGACCCGGCCGACATTGAGAAAACAACCTTTCGAACCCACCATGGCCACTTTGAGTTTCTAGTGATGCCATTTGGGCTGACCAATGTACCGTCAACCTTTCAGGCCCTTATGAATGAGGTATTCCAAAAACACTTGTGCCAGTTTGTCCTTGTATTCTTTGATGATATTTTGATTTATAGTAAGACATGGGATGATCACTTACTCCATGTTAGAGTGGTATTTGAATTGTTGCGTGCTCACCATCTTTGTTTGAAGAAATCCAAATGCTCCTTTGGGGAACCCCAAGTAGTATATCTCGGTCATGTTGTGTCTACTGCAGGGGTCTCGCTGGATACAAGTAAGATTCAGGCAGTTTCCGATTGGCCTCAACCGCAATCCGTTAATGCTCTATGAGGATTCTTGGGATTGGTAGGTTACTATCGCAAGTTCATTCGGGAATATGGTCAAATTGCAACTCCTTTGACTAGTATGCTCAAACAAAATTCCTGCCAATGGACTGATGAGGCATTGGCTTCTTTTAATGCACTTAAACAAGCCCTTGCTGCTGCCCCAATTTTGCAGCTACCTAATTTTGAAGATGAGTTTGTCGTGGAATGTGATGCCTCCGGAAGCGGTATTGGTGTTGTCCTCCAACAACATGGGCATTCCATTGCTTTTTTCAGCCGCAAAATAGCTGCTAGACACTTCAAACTTCCCGCCTATGAGAGAGAATTGATTGGGTTGGCAAAGGCAGTGCAGCATTGGCGCCCTTATTTATGGGGCAGACCTTTCCTTATTCGAACCGACCACTATAGCTTGAAGTATTTGTAGGAACAACGACTCACAACTTCTCCGCAACAACATTGGATAAGCAAGCTCATGGGGTTTGATTTTCGTGTGGAGTACAAGGCGGGGTATCTAAACTGAGCTGCGGACGCGTTATCACGTCAAGAGGATGATGAGGGCCTAATGTGTGCCATTACCCAACCTCGGGTGTTATTGTTTGATGATGATATAAGGGCCGAAATTTAGAACACATCTCTCCAAGAGCTGCAAGCTCAAGTGGAACGTGGGGAATTGAGTGATACTTGGTCGCTGCATGATGGGCTCATTTTCCATAAAGGCCGAATTTATTTATCACCAACCTCTCCCTTAATTTCTTCTGTATTGTCAGGTTTCCATGATAGTACCCATAAAGGTGTCCAGAAAACTTTACAAAGGGTGTGCAAGGATTTTTTCTGGCAGGGCATGAAGTCGGCAATTGGTGATTATGCGGCAGCTTGTCCCGGGTGTCAGCGCAACAAGGCTAAGCATTTGAGGCCCGTGGGTTTACTTCAGCCCCTCCAACTTCCTACACAAGTTTAGGCTGACATTTCAATGGATTTCATTGATGGACTGCCAAAATCATGGGGCAAAACAGTCTTATTTGTGGTGGTTGACCGGTTTTCGAAATATGCCCACTTTCTACCCATGGCACATCCGTATACGGCTACTAGTGTGGCCAACGTCTTCTTTGAGCAGGTGGTACGATTGCACAGTTTACCTGAATCTATAGTTTCCGATCGGGATGTTGTCTTCACAAGTAATTTTTGGAAGGAGCTTTTTCGATTGTGTGGGACAAAATTGTCTTTTTCTTCGACCTATCATCCGCAAATTGATGGCCAAACGGAGGTGGTAAATCGAACAATTGAAATGTACTTACGTTGTTTTGTAGGTGATCGGCCTAAGAGGTGGATGGATTGGATCCCTTGGGCTGAATATTGTTATAACACATCCTTTCATACTGCTCTTCACACATCTCCTTTCAAGGTTGTCTATGGACGGGATCCACCCCAATTATTATCCTATGTGGCTGGTTCTTCTCGAGTTGACGCGGTAGATCAAGCCTTGCTTGACCGGGATTCGACTTTGCAAGACGTTCGCTCTAGACTTCAACAAGCTCAGCACCGCATGAAGGAGTACTATGATAAAGGCCATCGCAACGTAGAATATGCTCCTGCTTCACTTGTTTGGTTACTATTACATCCACATCAGCAAAAGTCACTGTCCCGAACGCTTAATTATAAGCTTTCTCCCAAGTTTTATGGGCCTTTTAGAGTGTTGCGCAAGGTAGGGCAGGTTGCATATCAATTGGAGTTACCTTCTGATAGTAAAATCCATGATGTCTTTCATGTTTCCTTGCTCAAGGCCTTTCAAGGGGAAGCTCCAGCTGTTCCATCTCCTCTACCGCCTATGGAGGATGGCCGAATCATTTCTGTTCCTAGTTCCATTATTCGCTCGTGCCTCAATCGTGGCAATTGGGAAATCCTAGTTCACTGGGCTGGCTTCACTTCAGCAGATGCTAAGATGTTGCTCATTTTCGCACTACTTATCCAACTTTCGAGCTTGCGGACAAGCTCTTTCTCTGGGAGGGGAGTAATGTTACAGATGCCTTTGTGGGCAAGGCATATAGGAGACGTGGTACACAAGTCAAGCACTAAGAATGGGAAAGAAGCCAAAGAATAATCTTATTTTTAGTAGTATCCTAATTAGGAGAGTCTATTTTTAGTAAGTATTCTAGTTTCCTATTTTCTATAGGAGTAATTTCCTATTTTCTAGTTTTCTATTTCCTATTTTCTATAAGAGTAATTTCCTATGTAACCTCTATTTAAGGGGGACGAATTTGGAGTAATAGAAACAGAGAAGAATTTTGTTCTAATTACAGAGGTTTAAGACTCTCTCTTTCCAACGAGTCTAAGGTTAGGAGCTCCCTTCGACGAGTTCCAAATATTATTCACCATAGGTTCTTCTTGTCGCAAGAATCGCAACAAAGGAAGGGCTCCATCAACCGCAGTGGATTTTCCCGTGAATCGTCCAGTGACCCGATCCATAACTCGAGAACGTAACAGAAATGTTTTCTCAAACTTCTATTATTTGAATTGTCAATCATAATAATTATCTTTTTTTGAAACTTATGCCGGGAAGAGATAAATAACCTTGCACTTTGAGAAACCCAACCAACAAGAACAGCGGGCCATGCCAAGCCTCGAATCTACCAATAGAAAATAATCTCTTCAATTGTAAGCCATCCACACAAATTATGCATAGGAGTGTGCCATAAATGAAAGCAGTGAAGTACACAGTGTTCAAAATGACTGCCAACCAAAGATAAGAAAATTGGAATATTTGCTCTGTGGTGCAGTCAATCTGATGTTCTGAATTGTTTTACGGCTTCTCAATTACTAAGGACAAGAAAATATTGAGATGCAGAACCATAAAAACAAGATATTATGGACAAATAAAATGTAAAAATACCTGAGCATAGGTGTTTGCTGCAGGTACAACATGTGAATTCTTTGCCCCACTAAAAGCTGAAAGCAAAAGTAGTTCATTTATCAGTCACTGGATTGCCTACCTAGGGAACATCAAAGAGTCAGCTAATGACCGCTTAACCAAACATAATCAAGCGCTCAAGTGAAACTATGACCCAGTTTTATTACCAGTCAGAGCCCATGGACCAAAAAATCTTGTAAACAAGAGCATCAAGGAGCCACAAGCCAATCCAACAAAGAGCAAAACAGATATGTGATGTTGCACTTCTTTCTTATCCTGGAACAATAATATATGGTCAAACAATGGAGCACACAACATGGAAAAGAAATTTGAAATATAAATCTATAATGTCATATGTTAAAATCTAGCACAACAATGCATTGTGGTGCTAAGGTCTAAACATCCAAAAGAACGTTGAAAAAAGAGTTAACAATGTCTTAACAAACTCCGAACCCATGTACCCATCAGGTGAAGCTATGATCTCTATTAACTTACACTGACAACTTTGTGAATGGACTAAGATAATCTCTCATTTTACCTTCAAGAAACCAGTCATGTCCAGTAGAAATATCTTATATACGGTATACAGAAACAATCAGGAAAATAATTGACAATAAACAAGGAAGAATATTTTTTCCCATTTAAGATTGATCTGCTATCCCAGCTCAACCAACGTTGTGAACTTGTGAATTCACTGCAAACCATGATCAGGACTCAAGAGCAAAACTACTAACTTTCTATGACTGCAGAGGAGCGACGTGTGAAACTACAAACTTTCTATGAACACAGTGGTTCGGCATGTACTTAGCTCGAACCATGGAATTGTTCCACGCAAAGGTGGAACTAAGGCCTAACCATGTAAATTTAAAAACTCACTTTACAAGGTTTGGCCTAAATTTACTTAATTCTATTAAACAAAAGAATTGAAACAATACTAAAAATTGATTATTTTGTTATTTTCTTGGAACCCTCATAGAAATAACAAAATCTAAGATTGAACGATAACAATGATTAAAATACTTTACTTAGACAATAAAGTTATACAATTCTTTAAGAAAATGATTTTTATCGCACAAAACAAATTTAAGTTCGTAAGTCCAGGATTGAACTATCATGAAGGCAAGACTAGTTCCAAACCCAAAAGAGAAACTAACCCGTTTGGCAAGTGCAGTGGCAACCATATTGGAAGTAGCAATCGAAAGAAACATGAACACATAACTCAAGTTATCGCACAAAACCGTTCCCGGCCCTGCACAAGATCAAACACTTCTTTAATATCTCAAATTCAAAATTGAGGAATCAAAATCCAAAAAAAATCGTAAGAATTAGTCAATTACCTAAAGCGGCAAGCTCAAGGGAGCTTCCTTGTCCAATAACCGCCGTGTCGATAAGACTCATGAGCGGACCGCAGATCCAAAGGCCCGTGAGCGGTCCGGTGAACATCGCGATCTCCTTCATCTGGCTCCACATCCCTTGACTCACCAACTCTTCTCTCTTCACCTCCACAATTCCTTCCTCTTCTTCACTTCTCTCATCGAACGCCGTCGACGGAGGATAATTAGTATCGATATTTTCTTCGCCGAGAGATCTCCGATCATCGACGAGACTTTCTCGGCCGGCGCCGCCGCAGCCAGGGACGAAGCGACACCGTCGGGAGGAGAATCGCAGACCAAGAGTGCTCGAGAAACTGGGCGAGAAAGTCAGAGCTGGATTGTTGAGGTTGAAGGAGGTCGGAGTTCGGGAGTTGAGCTTGAGCCTAGGGTTTAGGACTCGGAGGACTGGAAGTTGAAGTTGGACCGCCATTTTTCTTTTCCGGTAAAATGGGGCAGAGAAAGAAAACTCTGCCCCAGAAAATGGAAATGAAATAAAAAGA